TGTTTCTGGGCAAATGAAATGTGGAAGTCACTTGCCCAAATGGCAAGTGGTAAAAATCCCTTGAGTGGCTTCTTCTCAGCACTGCATTTCTCAGATTGAAGCCAAAAACCTTTGTTTTTCATTGATGGATGAAGTTATTTTCATTAAAAGGCCAAATAACATTTACTTTTATGTAAATGAGAGAAGAGCTGGTTATTCTTTAAACTAGAGGTCGACCTGTCGGCACCAATTTCCCTTAATTAGTCGTGACCAATGACCCACTATATGAAAGACTGGTAAAAAACTTTTAACATACTGACAGTAAAACAAGTTCTTTAAATCAATTTAAAGAACGCTTTGGTTAGAGGGTATGGAGTGCATTTGGTTATGATATTGTTGAAAGCATAGAACACATTTTGTAAACAGGTTGTACCATAATGGGACAAAATTAATTCCATATAAATAAGAATGATCTTTTTCTTTCCATATTTCCTTCATTGCAAAATGTTACAGAATCTGCAAAACATTTTTCATTTTTTGTGGAAGTCGATTTAAAACAGAGTTTATGCAAATGGGTCGGACCTTCACAGATCCTAGAATCCTTCATCAGATTGATCAACCTGATAGAAAACTAATATCAGATCTGTCTTTGTCAGTATGGTGAGTTTGTCTGCATTGGTTTCATTTAATCTTGCATTTTTTCTCTTATTCCAGCTGACTGAGGCCCAGACGGGGAAGTTCAACGTCCACGTTCACGTAGAGTATGAGTGGCGGCTTCAAAATGAGGAGCTGGATGAGAGCGAGGACGAGCTGGAGGACAAGGTCGGCCCCTTTGAGGCGATGGCGGCGCGTTCCGTCTAAGATCCGGGTTTTTAAGCCCCTCTTGTGATTTTTAATCTGTCGCAGCCCATCCTGAAAACGCCCACATCCCGACGTGACGAGCGTCCGGTGAGCTGCATCGTCCCGGGCAGCGGGCCCATGGCGTCTAACTTTTCGGCGCTGGCCCGCGACGCTGCCTTCATAGCGAGGGACAAGCAGAGGGCTCCGATCCCGAGCATGATTAGCAACGAGACGTACGGCACCATGCTGGACACGGCGCTGCCGCCGCCGGGACCATCCCCACCGGTGCCTCCCAGAGGTCCAAACCGAGGTGTGCTGTGGACGGTTGGTCATCTTTAGGCGCGCATCCTTCGCTTTCACTAACTCGTGGTTCTGTCCGCATGCTGAACCAGGTAAACCCGCTCCAGTAGAATCAGTTGGGAGGCAGCGGTCGTCCTCCGACCCCTCGAACCCCAAGAACCCTGACATGAACACCTCTGTGTACGGTGAGCCCTCTTTGGTTTTTCTTACTCCATCCCTCCTGAAAAATTTTCAAAAGTTCTGGGGATAATCTGCGTGTTTTTCTTCTCTCCCAGTCCTCCCAGCAGTCCCTCCTCCACCTCCTCTTTCTTCACATAGGAGATCCGGCAGGTTCGACACGAAGAACGTGTCGGCCAAAAACACGCCCCTGCCTCCTCTGCCGCCCCCACCTGCTGTACGTCCGCCGGTCCCACCGGTACCGTCACTCAACTCACCGCCCCACTACAAGCCTCAACCTCCAACCCCACCTCTGCCAAACCAGCAGAGCAGTAGACCCCCTCTAGGACCCCCATCGCCCAAGTATGTAGTCGCTTTCTCCTGTTCGCTTTCTGTTTGAACGAGATGGAACTTAATCGACTTGTAGAAGACGCTGATGACGACAAGTCCTCTTTAAAGAGCAAAATAATTGTACTAGAAGGCACTGGTGAAGATTCCCAGTCATCCAGGTCATAGTCACTCCAAAAAAGTAAAAAAAACAATCCACTGGACTGAAATTTCCAAGTTTGAAGACGTTTTGGTTCCCATCCAGGAAGCTTTTTCAATTAAAAATGTCAGAAATGGCGTTGAGTTCCAGGTTTCATCCAGCAGCCCAACAAAGCCTTGTTTTTGCTTGGAAACACGCAAGTAGAAATGGACGAACGGGTCCACCCCTTTGGAATGGGGGTCTTTGGGTTCTTTTGTTAGCCTGCAATGATCTATACCTGTCTATGTCTCTGAAAGGGGGGTTGTAAGAGGGAATTGTTGGCCTGGCTGAAAAGGCGTGGTCTTCTGTCTTGTCCGTCCTAGTGGGAAAAGACTCTGCGGTACATCTACACCTAAAGGACATTCTTTTGAGGACCAGAATGTTCACATTTTGGACAAAGAAGCATGAAGGAAGCCATCTATGTTAAGGAAGAAAAAACAATCTTAAACGGGGGGGAGGGGACTCAGATTTCAGCTTTCAAAAACCTACAATGCAACAATTGAGTTGATTCCTTCCCGCTATCATCGCAACCCCAACCCCCTTACAGGGGAACCGAAGACCTCCCCTATTCAGCCAGGCCAACAATTCCCTTTAATGACCCCCCATTTCATAGACATAGACAGGTATGGGGCATTGCAGGCTAACAAAGAAACCAAACGACCCCCATTCCGGATATTCTGGAATATCCTGGTTTCCGGATATTCCGTTCCATGTTCGTCCGTTTCAATTTGCATGTTCTCTTGACAACAAACTATGACCTGCTCCTTAAAAACCTGGGATTTGACTTGGAATTATCCTTTCAAGATTTGAGACTTAACCTAACCTTACCTTACCCTCGTGAGACCATCCTGATCTCGCGAGCTTTCAAGGTTTCACTCGCAGATCAGTCTGGAGACTCTCCGTTAAAGAAAATTTGGAGCCGTTCACCAAACGAACGTCCAATCAGCGTTGGCTTTGAGGCGGGTTGGGGTGTGACGCAACGAGAAGCGCGACAGTTCAGTCTAAAGAACGTGGCGGCACCCCTCAACCCGCC